ACCTTTACCGTTACCCAATCAGCAAAGTCTCTTAATGTGTCCAGCTTCACAGCCAGCTGGTAAATGCATATCTGCAAAACAGGAAGAGAATTGGACTTTTCTCAAGCTTTATTCAATGTCAACTGTTCCCAGATTCTCAAGGGTCTCTGGGTGGAACCTTGTGGTCCTTAATGTGTATTAATGACCTGCCTGCTGCTGCACATCGATTGAAACATGTGACTGTGGGCTTTTTTTGTCCTTTATTTTTGCTATGCCAAAAAAAAAATATATATATATATATATTTTTTTTTTTTAAGAGCCATTATTCTAAAGGTTTTAAAAGATGACTCTAACTTTCCTGCTGCTTGCAGAAAGGAATTTTGCTCCCCAGATTTTTACCATGCAATTTGAGGTGATGCAGTTCAGAGCCAAGAGCCAGGCACAAAGAACCATTTATTACAAAATTAATCAAAAACGCCTTTCATCAGAGTATTTTCAGCTTCTGTCATCAAAAAAATTGACCTCCTCCCCACTGTTTTTGTTTTTTTTTTCTTTCCATCAGACATTTGTTCTGTGGGCTCAGTCAAGGGCTGTTTATGTTACCATGCAGATAGGGCTCGAGGGATATTTTCCCTAAGCTCCTGGATTTATTTTCAACTACATTTCTTTTGGTATGAAATTATCATTGACATCCATGAGACTGGCCTTGGCTATTTGAAAGACCTCTCCTCCCTCCATAGTTACATCCCTCCATGAAAACTGTCCTCCACCAAAAAGAGCACAGTACCAGTTATCTTCAGAATCAGATACACAACTCATTTGTTCAACTTAATATTCCCTTAATAATTCCTTCACACACAGGCACACAAACATACAAACATGCATTATACCAATTCAGATGCAAGCAAGAAACCAAAGCATTTATCAATGAATCAAGCTGCTTCTCCTATTGGACGAGAAAAAATGAGACATTTTTTCCCTATTTCAGATACTAAAGAGTATTGTGATGGAGCCATACATGGGCAGACATAGGATTTTGAAAAGGGAGGTATACATGGTGTGGTGCATTCTCACATATAATACAACACACATTTTTCTCCAGGTAAAAAGAAGCTAAAAGCCTTACTAATAATGCTGAGGATTGGGGGCTTTGTTATTCAGTTTAAGATTGAAGTAAAAACAAATATAACTTTATGGGAATTTGTATTAATTTGCTATGTCACACACTATGAAGTTAGGCAAAAAATATCAAAAGATGTGGTCTCTTTAGTCCTGTTGTCATTAGAATTAAATGTACATCTCTTCTATCCTCATAAAACAAAATCAAGCCTTCTTGAGCATCTTGACAGGTCATCTAATGCTTCACTGAGTTACTGGAATATCCAAACCTGCGTTAATGTTCACCTCAGTTACTGTTTCCACAACTAAGTTAATGGTTTTAGCTAGCGTTCAAAATAGCTTGCAGGGCTGTGAGATAGGAGCTATGTTGCAAGGAGTAGCTAACAGACAGCAGAACTGGAGAAGAAAGAATCGCTTGATTAGTGAAACGTTAAGACCATTAAAAGAGGAAAGAGGGTTGGTAACGCCTGTGGAATGACGAGTTTAGAAGGAATCTGGTACATTATTATAAAACATGAAGTCAAGTGACTCTTTGAATTCTGCCTGAATAGAAATGCCACTGCCAGGCACTTGGTGGACCGGATGCCAAAGGGGGTACAACTGCAACACTTTGTCTCCCCAGCCCCCAGATCTGCCCCTGGGATCTTGGCAATGTAGACTGGTATATAATGGCCTGCGAGTGGCTATAAGCATACTGAGTAATATAACTGGACTACATACTTCCCTCGCAGAGTGAGGCAAAGGTCTTCGTTGTTCAAGGAAGGGTGAATGGAATAGAGAATTCCTCTAGAGTCTTAGCGTGAATGAGATTTGTCTATCTGAGAGCTTCTCTGTTACTCCCTTCCTGAAACTTTAAACTAATATATGCCCCTTCCAGAATTTCTCTTTTGGCTCCCCCAAGACCCTCAACCCTACTTTATCAGACCAGACCCAATTTTCAGGCCCAATGGGACCCAATTTTCCCATCTTAGTTCCCAAGGCAGATTTCTCATTTGTTGGTGTCTGTCTTTTAAGTCTTGATTGTACTTCATAGATTTCATAGACATTAGGGCTGGAAGGGACCTCGGGAGATCATTGAGTCCAGCCCCCTGCCCCAGGGGCAGGAAGTCAGCTGGGGTCACAGGATCCCAGCAAGATAAATGTCCAAATGTTTCTTAAAAGTGTCCAGAGTAGGTGCTTGCACCTTTCTTAAAAGTGTCCAGAGTAGGTGCTTGCCCCGCCTCTGGCGGCAGTCTGTTCCAGGTCTTGGGGGCTCAGACTGTAAAGAAGTTCTTCCTTATGTCCAGCCTGAAATGGTCTTGGAGAAGTTTGTGACTATTTAACCTTGTCATCCCATGGGGCGCTCTGGTGAACAGGCATTCCCCCAGGTCCTGATGCACACGCCTTTTATACTTATAGGCAGCCACCAGGTCCCCCCTGAGCCTGCGGTTTTCCAGGCTGAAGAGTCCCATAGCTCTTAGCCTCTCATCATAAGGCCTGTTTTCCTGCCCTCTGATCATGCACGTGGCTCTCCTCTGGACTCTCTCAAACTTCTCCACATCCTTTTTAAATTGTGGAGCCCAGAATTGGATACAGTAAGCAAGCTGCGGGTTTTTCTTCCCAAGGTGATGTACCTTGCATTTTTCTAAGGTGAAGGCGATCAGGTTTTCATCCGCCCATTTTCCGAGCCTATCAAGGTCGGCCTGGATCACCATCCTGTCCTTGGGTGTGGATGCTTTACCCCAGAGTTTGGTGTCATCAGCAAACTTGGTCAGTCCACTCCTGACATCAATGTCCGCATCATTAATTAAGATGTTGAAAAGGATAGGCCCAAGGATGAAGCCTTGGGGGACCCCACTGTTTCATGGTCCACCACAATGATTGACTTCCATCAACTACCGCTCTGGGTCCAACCTTGAAGCCAGTTCCCCAGCCAGCGGACTGTGATGTAGCCGAGGCCACAGTTAGCCAGTTTTTCTATAAGGCTATTGTGGGATACCAGATCAAAAGCTTTTTTAAAGTCGAGATATATGACCTAAATCTCTTCTCCCTTGTCCAGGTGATATGTCACCTGGTCATAGAAGGAGATGAGATTGGTCAGGCAAGACGTACCTGCAACAAACCCGTGCTGGCTGTCCATCAAGAAGTTGCCTTCAGTCAGTTTGTCAAGAATGGTCTCTTTGATGATTTTCTCCAAGATCTTCCCGGGGCTAGAGGTCAGGCTAATGGGCCTGTAGTTCCCCAGATCTACTTCCCTCCCTTTCTTGAAGATAGGCACCACATTGGCCTTCTTCTGGGGTACTTCAGCTGAGCACCACCAGTTCTCAAGGATCCATGCCAGCGGCTGAGCTATGATGCTTGCCAGCTCCTTAAGTACCCTGGGATGTAAGCTGTCTGGGCCAGCTGACTTGAGAGTGTCCAACCTCTCAAGGTGTTCCTGCACATGGTCAACATTGATGTGGGGTAATAGTTCTCCCTCGTCCTGGCCATCCCATACCGTATTGGGCAGGGCCGTCCCTTGGGGCTGGTGAAAAACCGATGCAAAATACCTGTTGAGCAGGTTGCCTTTTTCCTGGGCGTCGGATGTCATTTGACCCATCTGGTTTAGCAGGGGTCCAATGTTACCCTTGCTTTTCCTCTGGCTCCCCACATATCTAAAAAAGGACTTTTTATTGTCCTTGATACGTGTACCCAGTTGGAGTTCAGTCGCAGCCTTGGCTTTCCTAGTTCGCTCCCTACAGGTCTGGGCCAGTGCAGAGTACTCCTCCTTTGGGGTGGATCCATTATAGGCCTTTCTTTTTAGACGCAGGAGGTCCACTAGTTCCCTGCAGAGCCAAGGGGGCTGCTGTGCCTTTTTGCTGCTTTTCCTCCAAGATGGGATAGACATTGCTTGTGCTTTCAGGATCGCTCCCTTGAGGAGCAACCACTCTTCCTGAACACCCCTCCCCTTTGGGTTGTGGTGCCTTAGGGCCTCGCCAACAAGCCTCCTGAGCTTGTCAAAGTCAACTTTCCTGAAGCTGAGGACTTCTGCTTTGCTGACTGACTTGCCAGCCTTACGGTGGATGGTGAAGGTGATCAGCACATGGTCGCTGTCTCCCAGGTTCCCTTCAATCATTAGGTCACTGATTAAGTCATCCCCCGTTGCCAGTACCAGGTCGAGCAGCACTTTGCCTCTCGTCGGTCCATAGACTTCTTGAGTCAGATAGAGCTTGTTCACGCACATGAGGAAGCTTTGCGGCCGTTCGGATGTGGCCGAGTGCTCTTCCCACGAGATGTCAGGGTATACTTCAGTTCCATATGCCCGCAGATGGTATACGGAAAGTGATGTTTTACCGTCCTATCATTATTCTGCCCCTACTAGCACTTCTGTAGCTGAGGGGCTGTGTTCAGCTGGCTCTTGGCTATGTATGGTGATTTAATTAATACAAAGCACCGCATGTAGGAGGGCATGATCTCAGTACAGGACAACCATAAAGGCTAATGATCCTTTGTTCTTTGCCTTCCTTCATTTCTCTCTCTGATTTTCTGGAGACACGTGCTTTGCCTCTTCGTCCAACTAAGTTGATCTGCCTGAAAGTTATTATTATCAACTCTGTTCTCTGGTTCAGCTTTACTACTGGTCAAGACTTCTATATTGTCAGTACTCCTAGGCAGTTCAAACATGATTTAACTTCCCTGTTATGACATTTCTGTTTTCTAGATTCTGCCCCAGAGAATCAGCAGCGAAGTCCTAGCAGACATCAGGAAGTCTGGCAGTGCAGCTGTTTCATATGTATCATTTTTACTGCCACAATGTATAAAATAACCAGATGTGGGGGGGGGGCTTTAAGCTATGAGGCCTTCCACCGCAGTGAGGATCAGCATTGTAGATGTGGATGTTACGTTATCTGGTTCATGCTTGTTTTTGCATTTCCAATGCACAGGTTGGTGTTCTTGGAGACGAGGAGGAGTGGGTGAGTTTGTACGAGGTGGAGAATGAGCCTGATGCCCAGATGCTAGAGATACCAAGTCTCACTCCTTACACTTATTACAGGTGAGAAAAGCCGGTATTTAAGTGCTATCCAAATAGGCTGGTAAGCTGCAGCACACAGCAGCTCTCCCATTTATAAGCAGCCAGATGCTGATTTCATCATTAGCCGGGGAAGAATTTATGCTTTTTTAAAAACTTCCTTCTTAAACCTACCTGTTTGGTCTGTTTTAATAGCAACTTGCACATGCTGAAACAATTAATCATGCAGCAAAGGAGAGCAAAGCACACACTGACATAGCACGAATATATCCTGAGGCTGAGACTTTTGTCTGTGCGAAAAAAAAGTTGCACCAGTTTAGCTAGAATCAATAGCAATTGATTTTAGTTAAATTGCTGCAAACGCATAATGTCAACATATTTAGATCGCTCTAAGCAGACTTTTATCAGCTTATCTTGATTTGGTAACCTAAATAGGCTTAAGCCTTTGCTTACAGGAGTTTTCCAAATTATAGGCAAACTGATATGTGCAAGCTTTAAATTGATCTAAATGCATCCACCTTAGGGTCTGCACCACTTTAACTCTATTGATTTCTTTTAATCAATTTAATTAAGCTGGTGCAATTTTCTAGTGTAGATGAGGTCTCATAATGGGGATGCTCAATCCTAAGGCAAACGACTTGCATGCAATGACCTACCCATATAAAAACCTTAGTAGGCAAGGACTTCCAGCAGCAAGAGTAGTTGCCACAAGCACCGGCTGTTATCATGTGACTGGGAGGCCTAATGGTCGGTTCAACAGGGTATTGTGAGTAGATAAGCAACAAGATGGAAGCAAAGGAATAAGCTTATTGCTTAAAAATAATTCAGTATCTGTACACAAACCTTTCTGACTTCAGACAAGACCTCCTAACTTGCCCTCTTCAAGAGAAGGCATTACCTGTTAGTTTTGCAGAGCTGTGAAGATGCTCTCAGGAAGCTCTGTCAAGATTGGGGAAAACGGAAGGGAGAGATTTCTAATTTGTCAAGTTTAGGCCATGTATTTTTCCGGCCATTGTACTCAGAGGACAGAGCCCTTTCGCTGCAGAGAAGAGCTATTTAGTTGAAGAGACCTTGTAACAAATTTATTGAAGGATTAAGTAGCAACAAGTCAAAAACCAGATGTTAGAGGGAAAGTGTAACTTGCTCCGTTTGGCTTCAGTGCATATTTAGCACCAGTAGAAGTTGCATATTCAGCAGGTGATGGGGAATGTAGCCAGAAAAACAACTAACAAGCAAGTATAAGACAAACTGGGGAGCTGTTTTATTTTGCCCTTTTCCGTTTATTGCTTTTCCTGCTACATCGCTGTTCTCTTTTCCTTCAAGTGTTACACTCATTTTACACATCCCTTGAATACTAAATTGGTCCAGGCTATACAACTTGGCAGTGGTACCCTCTCTACTTCTAGCTATTCTTCACACAAATAACTTGCTTCCTCCCCATCCTCCCAGCCTTCCCACCCCCTCCAAAAAAACCCAACACCTCACTCCTCAATTTGGTCCATTATATTTTCTTTTTGCAGAAAGTTGGAAAAGATTTTTTGTTTCTTCCTTCCAATGCTGAACAAAAACAGATTTCAACCCCCCACAGATCGCTGCGCAATGGAATTACATTCCAGTCAGCGCTAGTTATTAACTCACCAAAGAGATAAATCATGAGTGGTAATTATCAGTTAGACTGCATCTTTATCGTTTGAGCGTCTTTTCTACACTTTGTGTAAATGTTTAAGCGTGAAATCAGGGAGGGTGTTTGTTTAATGCATTCCCATTAATACACTTCCTAAAGAGGTCAGAGTGGATAGATGAACGGTGCTGCATACGCTGGTGTAACCTTTTCCCAAACTCAGCCACTAGCACCAGAATTCGAGCGTTCAATATGAACAAGTTGGGTGCGTCTAGACGAGCGCACGCATGCCTCCTGCCCCGTCTCAAACCCCTTTGAAGTGGGGCAAGAGGCATGTGCAGGAATGAAAAAATGTTTGCAACGTGGGGGGAAAATTAGACCCCTGGATATCCAGGGGTCAAACAGAAACCCAGGGGAAAAAACTGGGTCAGGGCACGGTCCCAGACCGCACCCTAAGGCAACCAGAGGCTCGGTCCTTCAGAGACCCAGAGTGCCACAACGTCTCTATGATTGGCCTTTTCCCTGGTCCTGAAGCATGCTGCCTGCCCGTGCTGGGAAGGCAGCGGTGCAAGCTGTAGGGACCCAAACCCAGCTTTTGCCAGGTAAGCAGAGGGTTGGGGGGCTGGAGGAGGGGGGAGGGGACCTTGGGAGGCTGGAGACAGCAGGGGAACGAGCAGGGGGTTGGAGACAGCCCCAGAGGCATTCCTCTGCTTTCCCCTGCTTTCCCAAGGCTGGAAGCAGCAAGGGAATGTCTCCATGGCTGTCTCCAGCCTCCTACTTCTTCCCCTGCTTGTCTACAGCCTCAGGGGAGCAGGGGAAGGAGCAGGGGGCTGATGACAGCAAGGGAATGTCTCCATGGCTGTCTCCAGCCTCCTACTTCTTCCCCTGCTTGTCTCCAGCCTCAGGAGAGCAGGGGAATGCCTGCGGGGCTGTCTCCATCCCCCTGCTCCTTCCCCTGCTTGTCTCCAACCTCGGGGGAGCAGAGGAAGGAGCAGGGGGCTGGAGACAGCAGGGGAATGTCTCTGGGGCAGTCTCAGCCTTGAGGACAGCACAGGTGCTGGCCCTGGGCTCTAGCTCCCCCTGGCTGCAGATCCGGGAGGAGCCAGGCAGGTTATTTTGCCCCAAGTGGCACAATTTGCTCCACAACAAAGTGCATGTCCGAGCACGTGCACTGAGGCAAAAAGCCCTGGCTCAAATTTGCACTACTTCTATTTGAGCTGCTGCAAGTGCATGTGCTCGCATGTGTGGACATGCCCATTGGGAGCAGATTTGATCCCAACAGGGAGCATGTATAGATGTGTTCCCAAGGAAGGCTTACTGTATTTTACTGCACAGGGGGGAGGTGCGGCCCCGGGAGACTGTAGGCAGGGTAGTCCATGTGCTGGGGCGGGGGCAGGCTCTGCTCTGTGGGAGGCAGGGGACCATTGGCGATGCGTAGGGGGTGCACGTGCACTGCCTGAGCATGGCGGTGCACCCCCTCAAAAAAGGTGCCGCTGACACTGTCGGAGGTGCCTGTAGGCCATTGCCGCTTGCCACCCCCACCACCTGCTGCCAGTGGTGTCTGTGGGCAGTCAGCAATCATTGCTGGCCACCGTTGTCACTGCCAGTGGTGTCTGTGGGTGCTTGCCGCTCTCCACTCCTCCCCCCACTGCTGACAGTGCCGGCAGCGTCTGCAGAAGGTCCCTGCTTACCACTGCCACCACAGTCCCAGCGCCACCATGCCCCACCAGCCGCCGGGGACATGCAGCGTTCATGCAGGGGACCCACCCCTCCTAAGCAGCCCCCACACCCACATTCCCCCCACACCTACCCACGCAGTGACTCACATTCCCACCCACATCCCCACCCCTTCCCACCTCCTCCTGCAAACCCCACATCCCCCCCATCACACACACACGTGCTTGCATGTATGGACGCACCTATTGAGTTGCTACATGCTAACATCAGATATCTGAAACTGCAAATTCCTGCTATGTTTATAGCAGGCATGAGGGCCTGAAGTCTACAGCAAGTCTCAACTTCTTTGTGATTTTCTTATGAAACTGCAAAAGGCTTACTCTAAGTCTTTCACTACCCTATAGGGACCTCTGCTGTGGAGGAGATCATTTGGAACAAACACAATAGTTTTTAAGATGTGCAGCCGCATTAAATTACATAATCATTCTTGTTGAGGAAGGGAAGGAAGACAGTCCACTGGGTTAAATCAGCCTTCTTTGAGTTGACCATTGAGGGGAAGTATTGTTATCTGCTATGTTTTTAACATCTGCAGGGAAGCTAGAATAGCCAGGTATTGACATTCTTCACAACACATTCAGACAGGGTGGTGCGAACTCTCAAAGTTAAATCACTGTCAAAGTGATATCACTTAGTGCTAGCATAACCTCCTCCAATTTGGTATAATTAACATAAACTCATCATATTGCCATGCCTGGGTTTCTAATAAAGAGGCGAAATTGGTCCGATTTATACATTTGTGCACCTATGAGAACCTTGCCATCATTGTAGCAGTGCAGAAAAGGATGAATACGATGACCCCTGTGCCCAGTGACTGTTGTTGGAGTACCTGGGAGACTGTTTGCACTATTTTTTTATGCTTTTAGGTTCCGGATGAGACAGGTGAATGTTGTTGGCCAAAGCCCATTCAGCCAACCATCTCGTGTCATCCAGACACTGCAGGCACCGCCAGATGTTGCACCAGGGAGTGTTACTGTGCGCACTGCCAGTGAAACTAGCTTGTGGATCCGCTGGGTGGTGAGTTGATATAAACTGGAGAATCTGCAAGAGACACTGATATCTGCCTTGCCTCTGTCTTCCTAGAGGATAAGTCCAAAGTTCATGAATGACTTTTCTAAGCATTTATCCTAAAGAGCATCAGCAAAAAATACTCTTCCGAAATTGCCATAAACGCAAGGCTTCTCTAAGTGCCAATCACATGATAAACTGTTAAGGAACTAAAATTGTAAATGCTGCTTCTAGTTACACTGGTACGTGAGATGATGCCTCCCATTTCCAGTTTAACTGAGAGAAGAGTTTTTCCATATATCATGTACATCTCCTATGTGGAGATTGTATCCGTGTGAATAGATTTCAGACTGTGTGATACATTGTAGAACCAGGTGATTGATAGCAGAGATATTGATAAATAAATTCAGCATGCATCTTTGACTGCCCAAGTTGCCCATAAAACTGTCTCACTTGTATTTTTAGTATTCTGACTCCCTTCGGGTAGGTGCCTTTATATCACCAGTCCCAAAATGTTTCTTCTTCTGCCTGAACAATCTTGAATTTTCCCCCAGGTGACCTTGCTGTGAAGTTTGGAATGGGCAAGGGCTGTCTCTGCTTTTCTGTATATAAACATATTAGAGCTTCAGAATATATAATCTTGCAGGCCCAGGGGTGGGAGTTGTAGTCCATGGAAAGAAGAGACTCCAGATTCCCAGTGGGAGCCACACCTCACTTCCAGTCCTCCAGGAGTCATCACATCGCACTTATGAATGTGCCTTTAGCATGCATAGAAAAACTATGGCATCTTCAGTTAATATGACCCGTCCTACTTGCTCACGGTTTCACCATATACGAGTAATGTACCCATAATGTCGCATATCACATGTTCAGCTACGCTCTATGGAACCACATGTTATAGCAAAACTAATTCAAAAATATTTTAGAGACTTATAAAACTTCTTCTAAGCCCGTCTTTTATATCCAACCCTTGTGAAGTTAGATTCTTCATTACTACGAATCCTACCACGCAGGGTTCAGGGGAGTCACAAACGCAACTAAAAATGACCCAATCTAGCTTTTCCGTATATAAAAATGTCAGTATTTTAAAGTCAGATAATCTCTGCTCCTCAAGCGCTACAAGTGAGTTCTGTGTCCCCTAGGACCTGGGAATTCCTTCTTTCCAACAAAATGAAGTTCCTATTTCTAGCCCTGCTGGCCCATAGGATATAAACTTTAAAGCTATGAAATGTTAATGCATATCAAAACCCCTCAGTTATTGAGGGCTGAATTTTGCTCATTCTTGGCCTCATGCAGTTATAATTTTAAGGTATTTTGGTAGAGCAGGTGGTGACATTTCTAGCTGAGGTTAATTTTTTTTAAATGTCTGAAGCCGCTCAGGGGGTTGCAATGCTAGAATAAATCCCAGCTAGATGGATTAATGGGCAGAGAGCCCGTGAAGCAGTCAGAGGTGTGTGATAAATGTATTTATCACATAGCTCTGCCATTTATCACTGGTTTCCACAATTTATCATGCAGCTCTGCAATTTCCTGTATTGGCATCACTTCCATGTGTATTGACTAAGGGGTGTATTTGTGTGTCTGTCGGTTTTCCGACAAGGTATTTGGTAACATGGCACAGAAAAATTACAAGTATATTGCATGCAAAATAAAATTGGTTAACAAATGAAGGGAAAACACAGAATTAACCTTTTCCCTATCCAAAAATTTATCAATGGCATATTCGTTATGTGGGAGTTCAGAGATGTGACGTACGGTTTGAAAAGCATAGACTAGCAACTTGTTAATTCTGCACTTTTCCTGTTGTTAACTGCCAGCCTCTCCCCGATACTCAATATAATGGGAACCCAGAGTCAGTGGGCTACAGGATAAAATTCTGGCGCATTGATCTGCAGTCTTCTGTGCTGATGAAAGTAATCAGTGACCGGCTAGAGAGGGAATACACTATTGAGGATCTGGAGGAGTGGACAGAGTATGAGCTGCAAATCCAGGCCTTCAATGCCATTGGAGCAGGACCATGGAGTCAAGTGGTGAGAGGTCGCACGCGGGAGTCTGGTAAGTCACAGGGAGCATCTGCTTCTGTGAAGAAGGATCTCGGCGCTTG